CTCTTCCGATCTTAACACAAGGCAGGCAGCATAATCCTCAACCAAACAGTTTGCAGCATTGGATTTAAGCAGTAGTTGTACAAGCCCAACCATGCGAGAACTGTTTACCAATTTTATAAAATTTATCATTTGTGCTTTTTGCAAATACATTATATCATAGCAAATTTAATTATGATATTTGAGAGGACAATGGGAGAGAGAATTCTCCATTTTTTAGATTTGATTTTTACAAAATGTTTAAATACCTCAAAAGAAAGGTTGTATCCTCAACTCTTTAATTCGTTACAATTAGAAGGCTGTTGTAATTTCCGTTTTACTAATAATTGGTTTTTGTTTTTGCTAATGGTTTTTTGTTTCTTTCTTTTCGTGGAGAACATCTTACTGCCCTTTTTATTTTTGCTTGTACTTTCTTTACATACTAAAAATAAAAAATAATAATTTTTCTGTTTCTTTACATGCATAGTGCTGAAAAATGTGATGCCACAAAAAGTTGCAAGATAACTGAAAAGCTTATAACTTTAAGCAGAAAAAAACCTCATGAGACAGAAATAAAGAGAATGAAGGACAGAACAAAAGACAAGATGGTACCTTAATATACTCATGATTTTGATAGAGGATTGCTGAATTTGTGGTCGAAAATCGTATCTGGCATACTCCAAAAGAGCTACAATTTGGTTACGATCTTGAGAGAGTATAACATCCAGAGGCTGCATTAAAAGAAGAATGATCAAACAAGAAGCAGAAAACAGCCACCAAAAGCAAAAATGCTTACCAGGAAACAAAGAGATGAGCAAAGCTTTATAGGAAGCATTTGCCACAAGCACAAAAGGATGTGCAGGTGTTCATCAAACATATGACCATATTCAAGGAGATAAAAAGTCCATATTTACCCAGCATAACGGAAAGAACTAAAGGAGATAAAAAGTACAAATCAATAGCCCCAAAGGAGGTTTTGAAACAAAGAAAAATTCAATTGAAATTGAAAGAGAAAACGTACAAAACAAGATGGATGAGCTATCCATTATTATTTTTTTTTTTTTTTTTGCATTATTGTTCATGATCATCCTATGTACATAAATTAGTGATCTAAAAAATATCTCCTTATGCTTGAATTGAGATTTTAGAGAGTTGGCACTCTAGGGTTTATATTGTTCATGATCATGCTTTTTTTTTTTTTTTGAAACAAGAATCTTTATTAAAAAGGGGAAAAAAGTACAAAGAGAAGAGGAGGAGGTCTCCTCTAAAGACAAAAAACGAAGAAAAACTAAAACAAAATTACAAGAACAGGGACCAATTTCTGACTAGATCAGAAAGTAAACAATTGCAAAATTCCTTATTTAAATGAATCCATAAAGCTGTCCAATATTTAATCTTATCCCAAACTACTAAAGCGATCCTCAAACACTCTAGGGTTCCTTTCCAACCAAATTCCCACAAGCAGACCAACACCGCTGACTTCCCAAGGAGTTTCATTTTGCTATTATATTCGGACCAAAAATGGGAGTCACATAACTCTTTGCAACTTCTTGGAGTTACCCATGAAATCCCTATTTCTTTTGGTAATGAACACCATATGCTGTATGAAAAAGGACAACGCAAGAAGAGATGATCGGCAGATTCTTCACTATTTTTGCACAATATGCACCAGCCTGGGGAAAGCAAAATATATGGCTTCCTACACTGCAGTAAATCATGAGTATTCAACTTGTCGAGAACCAAAAGCCAACAAAATACTTGAACATTAGAAGGAAAACGGGTTTTCCAGATAAAATCAAATTGTTTAAAAAGAGAATAATTAGGGGCTTCAACTAAAAAGGAGAAGTATGATTTAACAGAGAATAAACCAGAACTATATAAATCCCAAAACCTTGTGTCATTAGTTCCCCCCCACCCCAAACCCCCCAGAGATGGACTCCATCCAACAAAGAACTAAGCTCTAACACCTTCCTCAACTTCCCTTTCAGTCAAATTCCTTGAGAATTTAAAGTCCCAAGAGTGCCCCCCCTCACCACTCCCAAATGCTTGCAAGGGTTCCATAAGAAACGAATGAATTGGTTGATTGTGAAGGGTAGACAGCTGATAAGCCCTTACTCAGGCAAGTGTTTGGCTGTGGTAGTTTGGTGTTAGTAGTTTAGTGGAAATATTAGTTTAGCTTACGGGGGGAGTTTGGGGGAGTGAGGAGAGGAAATTGTATAAAAGGGGAAGAGGAGGGAAAAGCGGTTATCGGGAAATAAACAGAAAGTGGACAAGTCTTGGAACAATTCCAAGCAAGGGAGGAAGCAGACCCTCGAAGTTCTGCCGATCTGTGTATACTCATTGTTTCAATAATATCCTTCGTTGATTCTTTCTCATTCTTTCGAATTGTGCAATTAGTTTCTTAGTTCTTGACCGGATAAACCAGAGCTTATCAACAGCCTGTGAAGTGCAGGAAAAGAAACAGAAATAGACGTCTCTCACCAGGTATTTTCCCAGAATCGCATGCCGTCGCACCAGCCCAACTTCCACTTCAAATGCTGAAAAAACCCCGCTGCATGTGCTTGGACAGCTTTCCAAGGACATCGAAGTATTACTCTTAAAATCAACCCTGAATCCCAACCATTATCACTTAATCCGCACTTCCCTTTGATGACCTTATGCCACAAAGCATCCTTTGGGAACCTCCAAAGCCATTTGCATAGCAAGGCTTCGTTCCTCTTCATTAAGTTACCAATTCCTAGACCCCCATTCTTCTTAGGTTTGCAAACTCGTTCCCAAGCAACAAGATGTGTTGCTTTTTCCTCGTTGAAATCCTTCCAAAGGAAATCCCTCATTAACTTTTCTATTGCTTCCATAACTCCTGTGGGAATCCTAAACAAAGAGAGGTAGTAAACAGATAATGAAGCTAACACCGATTGAATAAGAGTTAACCTGCCTCCCTTTGAAAGATCTTTCTTCCAGCCATCCAAACGTTTAGCTACTTTGGATACCACAGGTTCCCAAAAAACCGAAAGACGAGGATTTTCCCCCAAAGGCAATAGAACGCTATGTACATAAAATCGAAATAAATTAAGAGGCACAATATCAATAGGTTGCAAAAGAACGCTATGTTGGAAATGAAAACAATAAATGCCTCTAAGAAGACATTTAGGTCACAAATCCTTGGTATTTCTCTAGGCAAAGAGATGTTCATCTAAAGCTGTAAATATATTGCAGTTTGATTGATGGGAGAACACTTTATTGTGTAAAGGTAAGTATATGAAAAGTTTCTCCTCTTTTCCATTCTATCTAATTCTCTTTCTTATTCCATCTTTATTAATACTAAGCTTAGAGCATTGTTGTTTGGCCTCACCAAGGACAGCAAGACACAGGATTCAGGTCCCTTGGCACGAAGGCCTGGTGGCTGGCGAGGTTGACTCAAACGGAGCTACACGACATTTTCCTTAAGCTTACACTCAAAACACATTGCTGACTATATAAGTAAATTCCAAAGACAATAACTTTCTTCCATCTCTTCGCAATTTGCTACCCACAGAATCCTTTCCTACTTTTCCAGAATCCTGCGACCCAATGTTTCACAAATTTTTAGCCCATAATATCCTTTCATAACAACAAACGTTTTAGACCATTAATTCCTTGAAAGTTATGATTGACAGGGGTATGGTGAACACATAAAAAACAATCGCCAGCAAATCAGTAACAACTCCATAACAAAATTGATGAGGGACAAGAATTCCTTATGAGCAAGATAAGAACAGTAGAAAGTAGTTTTAAGTCTAATTTTTTTTTTTTTTTTTTTTTTTTTTTTTTTTTCTTTTTTATATCCAAAAATCCCTGAACTCACCTTACGAGTCCGAGTTTGAAATTGAATCCTTCCGCCAAAGGCTGTAATCTTTGGAAGGCAGGAAACTATGAATTTTGTCATGTAGGTGTCCGCGACTTAAGTGTAGTTTCTTAATACTCTGTTAAGGAGTTTGAATAAGTTTCCCAAAACTATTACAATTGCTTCCCTCTACTGATAGTTGGGTAGTTCCCATTATTTGCTAGTTTACTTTCACATTCGTGTGAGTTTCCCTTTCTTATTTTCTTCTTTATAATAGGTCTAAGGATGGCCATTGCAATAAAAATTATTCTAAACTTCTTCCCTATGATGAATGTTCGACACCATAATTAATCAAAGCCATCTTGGATAGCAATCTGGAACAACTACCTGGTATAGAGGACGCCAAAAATCAGAAAGAAGTACATCTTTCTCCAGAACAAGAATTATAATTTCCAAAGAAAGTTGTACAGCCTTCTCTAAAAGTTGCCCGTAGATTTGACTTGTCCTTTCAGTAATGATGGTATTAACGCCCCGTAAAAGAATGCCCATAATATTCCGAAAAACTGTTTTTCCACTCATGAAATCCTGCAACAAGTTGATGTACAAAAATTGTGGCTTCAATAATTCACATCTATAGAGAATTTAAGTTTCATGACTGAAACTACTATTATCATAAGTTGAAATATTTATGCCCTAGTCCAATTATAGAAGTGAATAAAGGGTTAGAAACATAGTTTATCATTTACTATAAGTAACAGTATTGAGTACCACACAATATTAAGTACTCATATATATTCTCCACACGAGCCACTATTGCAAACTTATGTGCAAAATACATCCGTGCTAGTCTTAAAATAATATACAAACAAATGATAAGATAGCGTTCAAGGGGACACTCTTCTATAAGCTTCTATGACATGAAGTTTTCACAAGAAAGATAATTAGATCATGATCATCAAAGAAAATGAATCTTGGAACCAAAACCAGTTTTGAGGTGCAACTTGCATCTTGCAAACACAAAATGCCTCAGTACCTAAACCAGCTTTCTAAAACAACATACGACTTCAATAAATAGAAATCTCTAACCCAATTGCTGAACTAAGACATGCCAATTGTGTCACTAAATCCGTCCTATGATAGAAGTCTTTTCTTCCTAAGAAATTGATCATCTAAATTTTCTGCATGCGTCGTGTAAAGTAAATTACTTTTTTTAAGTCTCAAAGACAAGAATGAGCACCTACTTTTAGCAACTCCAGCACGGGAAGCTGCATTTGCAGGGAAGATGGTTGTGTTTCTGTTGAAAGCTGTGTGCTATCAGCAATACTGTCAATATCCTCTTCACTGATGTCATACATTCTCAGTATCCTGCATGGCAACCCATAAGAATATAGAAGGTTCTCTACTTACTGCTTACTTAATCATAATCAATTAAATTTATGAAATGGATTGACAGTCAAAATAGGCTTTAAAAGATTAAAAAGATGAATCAAACTAGGGGAGAAGGTAACTCATTCATTCAATACAAACTAGCCCAAAACCAATTACAAGCTTCTAAGTTTCAACTGTAGGATCAACTCACATATGAAAATGCTGAAGGCAAGCAACAACCAACTGCCATTTCTCACAAGGATCCGCATAAGCTCTTTGAGGGAACGGCCCGAAAACATGATCAAATATGAACCTAAAAATTCCAATGAATCTGCAAAAGCACAGAAGCCCAGAAACAAGCTGGTAAGCATACTGAGAAAAAAGTTTCACGAAAACATTGTACAAATGAATGGCCAGTACCTATGCCCTCTATCACTTGTGTCTCTTTCTTCAGCAATAAGCACATTTAAGAGGTTAAGGAAAGAAATAGTCGAAGGATATTGTTCTCTCCTTGCTTCTATTTCATTCAACTCAAACTGCATATCATACACCTGTCAAACACAATTTTTGTAAGCTTTTGACGCACATTAAGTCTTGTAACAACCACTCTTAGGCAGATCACAGGCTAGCACATGCGACATGAACCAGCTTTATAACTGAAGATGGTATTTGAAATCTTAAAAATGCAAATGGCCAGAAAATTTTACTTTCTCAATTTTGTAGTCCAGGACTCTAGATGCTTATTTATGAGGTAAAGAATAATGGAACACTAGAACCATCAACCCAGTTAGAGTTAGGAAACATCTTTAGTTCTATTTAGCAATGGTTAGACATCACAGGCACCAACGACAGGTGTAAATAGCCATCAATGTCCTGCATATACTTTAGTGTTCTTTGCGCACAATACAACACAAAACACCTTTTTCATCTAACCAAATTTAAATAGGGAATGACCAAGTATTTTAAGATTACTTCAAAGTTCTAAACACCCAATTTCTGATGAAAGTAGCCAAGCTAACTTTATTCATCACAACTCATAATCTTATAAAGGAATATTTACTAAAAGCGGGAGATCAGCATAAGATTTGGAAGCTATAAAAAATAGTTAACAATTTACAAACAAAAAAAAAAAAAAAAAAACCCTAACCTTCATTTAGTGTTCCTCTTCAGATTTTAGTTAGTGATAAGAAAAAATTTATTGAACATGAAAAACCATGCAAATGAAGTAATCAAAACGAAATATATCAATCAGCACTTCCTGCAACATGCAGATATTAATAAATAAAGAAAAAATCCCAGCTAACTAACTTGTGTGGCCAGGGGCTGTGCACCCTTCCCAACATGAGATCCAACAACCACAGGAAGATCATACTGCTCAAGATAGCTCCAAATTGTATCCTTTAAGACTGGAGAGACATGAACAAAAGTTCCTATTGCATTCCGCAGAGCACCCTGTGGCAGCAGAATTGAGAGGAAAAAAAAAAAAAACAGATCAGAGAACAGATTCATACATTTGAAGCATTAACCTCCAACAGATAAAGTGGTTCAAATGTCGCTAGTAAAGAGAAGCAAGGTCAGAACATAGTTACCAACCTTAAGATAAGGAGGCACATTCTCATAGCCAAGGAGCTTGAATAATGGCTCAATGTCAGGAAACCAGTTCTTTCTCTCAACAGGGTTACCATTTTGTACAACCTGTAGCAACATTGAAAGAAAATAACACACTTTTCCTTCATATGGTGGAAAAATAAGATAAACCACTCAACTCAACAACAGATAAAGGCTTTAAAGAGAGGAAAAAGATATAAAGACTTAGTCGTCAAAAGTCGGGGAAAGTAGGAAAAAGAGAAGAAAAGAAGATCCATTTCTTTAGATCATACATCCAAGATTTATAAACTCGAATTGCCTGCTCAGATGTTGTAGAATACAGGCAAGAGAAGTGCAACAACATAATGCTATAAAACTGAAATAGAAAAAGGGAAAAAGGAAGAAAAAAAAGTGTATAGATTGCAACAAATAACATTGTGTCAAGGTAAGCATGGAAAAACAGAAAACATTAGCAACCAAATCATCTTCCACATCCCCCACAGAACACAAGATTAAGCTCACAAGCAATTTACTCTCATCAGAAAGAAAATAGATATATATTTATCCCAAAAAAAAAATTTGATATCTTGTAAATGAGTTTCACAGTATGCTAAGCAGCAATAAGTCATGTACATGAATTGAAATGCATAAAGCTTGGAAAATAAATTTGCCACACATAGCAAATAAAGCACGTTTCAATGGTGAAAAAGGTAAAGCAAACTATTCATCAAAAAAAAAAAACTGAGTAAAAAAAAATTTGTTGAAAAAAAAAACTAAAAATAGAAACCTTTCGAAGAACATTCAGATAAGCAACAAGTGCCTTTGCATCCCCCTCGGGGAATTCTGGTAACATGGCTCCAGCAGTCTGGAGAGACTGTTTGAACTTTTCGTCATAAATTGATAAGCAATCAAACAAAGTGCTCCACCCAACAGAGCGGAATGCTTTCCCCTTAAGTAACTCATAAACCTTTGAGACACCATCTTGGCTAGAAGCCTGAAAAAAAATAAATAAATAAATAAAAGGTGAATAAATGTGAAAATTGCAGTACTGTAATGAAGCACACTTTGGATACTAGAATTTTAAACAGTAAAGAAATGAACTTCATACCAATGTACTCAGCATATTCAAGAAAGCTACAAGTGTGTGAAAATTTGTATGATCTTCCCCAGCAAAATTCACAAATGTCCACAAGACATCATTACCAGACAACAGCTCCGGCTCCCTCTGATATATGAAAAAAAGGGGATAAAAGTTTCAGATTATCATAGCTAAACATAAGCCTAAGTAGACACGTAATTTAATGCACAACAAACAAGAAAACATCAAGAACTACATACATACACCATTGAGACGAATCTTTTAAAAAAAATACGGGGTTAACATTACTGCAATGAAATAAAAATCGAACATAAATTTTCATTGAAGCATTGGAAAGAAATTCTATCATATTCATGAAGAGAAAGTGCCAACACATTCGACTGACGAAAAGATGGATACCCATTTTTTTTCTCAAATTCAATTGATGGATTCCAAATTAATTAACCTTTTAGATTTGCAATTTTGGACCTTTAAAGATTGTTCTCATTCTCTCCATGCTCTTTTAAAAGATGAATTTATACATGTTTAACAAGAAAAAGAATAAGTACATGCATTTATGCGTGTTAAACAAGAAAAAAATAAAAATATGCATCCATGCATGTTAAACAAGAAAACACTAATCACAATATGTGTTGGTTTCACCTAACCACATAAACATGACTTATGATCTCCAAGAGAGAATAGACGAATATATACATTTATGCATGTTAAACAAGAAAAATTAATCATATGGGTCTAGGCATATTAGACAAGATACACTGAAGTCCTAAAATGTTTTAGTTTCGCCTGACCTGATAAACTTCACTCACGAACTCCAACAGAGAGACAAACGGTAGAGGGCCACATTCAGTGGCTTGTTGAGGACTTGCATTTCTATCATGTGTAAAATCATGTGATACGGCTGACCTGTATGGACTAAGAATGCTCATAGCCCTTTCCTTTGATTCTTTCACCTGCAAAACAGTTCAGAAAACAGAACTCAGAATTCCACAATTAAAACATAAGTTTGATAACAGGATAGACCAAAAATTAAATGAAAGCATGGTTTATGGCCGTCACTTGAATCTTCATAAGCTTGTTAAAAGGCTGCAGTTTTATTAACTTCAAGACAAATTAAATGTCTAATTCACAAGGTTATAAAGTTCTCTGAACTGTATCAATCAAATATTTACTTATCAAATCAATTTCCCTAATACAAAAATATTAGTTGAAGAGAGAATATGTAATAAATAAACCAACTGACCTTATCTCTGGCTAGAGGGTGAGACAAGAAGCAAGATATCAACTTGTGCAGATAAGCGTTGTACATATAAATCATATCCTCGTCATCATTCTATAGAAATGAAAGATAAACCAGGAAAGCTGCGTTAAAAGTATGCCAACAGCAACATGGGACAAGTAGAAGGTACAATTTCAAAGATTGAGTGACTACAAATTATCACAGATAATTTGTTTCAGTCCTGTGGAAAAGATTAACGGTGAAGAGAGAATTTGCGAAATAAAAAATGGAAAAATGAAACCGTCAAACAACAAAACCAAGCATATGTAAGTATTCAAGCGAGTCCATCACGAATTGTATTGAATGGCCCATTAACAAGTAAACAGAATGCCATGCTTGTATAAATATTAAAAGATATCTGTTTCAATGATAAAGAGGTCATTTTCATAAATTAAAGACAAATAGAGACAAGCACATAAATTTCCTAAAGAAAATGTTTTAGAAAATGTTTAGATTCGTTTTGAGGGTCCTTCATGAATTGTATTGAATGGCCCATTAACAAGTAAATAGAATGCCATGCTTGTATAAATATTTAAAGATATCCATTTCAATGATAAAGAGGTCATTTTCATAAATTAAAGACAAATAGAGACAAGCACATAAATTTCCTAAAGAAAATGTTTCAGAAAATGTTTAGATTTGTTTTGAGGGGGTTTTCTCAATTCTGAAAAACAATCTAAACCCCTCTCCCAGCTTTCAGTTTTAAAGAAATCTTGGCAAACCTTGGAGATAAACTTTCAAGGAACATCTATAGGAAGCATTGCTCACTCCAGGAAAACCACTACTGAGACAACTCTATACTTGTTCTTATGAACATCACAACTTTATTTTTATAAACACTCCTTCTACTAATTATTGAATCAATTACAAGGATGACGATAAGGTATATGTTAGAATTTTAAACTGTTGTTGGCCCACTGCCAGACAACTTTAAGTTTTTGGAATGAATTGGTAAACTGACATGGTATCAGAGCTGGAGACCCTGTGTTCAACCCCTATAATTGCACTCTCTAAAATTGTCATCACATGTAGGTCCTTTTACATTTCAAGCTTATTATTCAATATTCACTAGTTGGGCTTTTCAAAATATTTACCCACACGACTATCCATTGTCCAGCTCACATGTGAGTAAGTATTAGAATATAAAACCGGCCCGCCTCTTAACAACTTAAGCTTTTGGAATGGATTGGTAAACAAACAATCTCCTCCATGAGAAACATAAAAGAAATAAAGGGAAAGGGGAGAGAGAGAGAGAGAACAAAAAACAAAAAACAAGAACAATATACATCCATGGTAGAGCCCAACTAAAAATCAAAATAAATCAGAGCCTCAGAAACCTTACAACTCCTATGGCCCCATTATATATTTCCAATTCATGACAATCAACGAAAAAGGAAATTCTTAATGCTTAATCCATTGATGCCCGCAAAGAAGTCAAAAATTTCGCTTTCTCACTGATGTCTTCCACTTCCAATGCTTTATCCTCAAAATTCTAGCCTCACTCCTTCCAAATCATCCCCAACATAGCCAATACCACACAATTTCATAAAACCTTAGCCATCCTATTAGAACCAAAACCCACCATAGATTCCAACATAAGTAATTTACGTTGGCCTGGGATTACCCGTACAAAACTAGCTTCTTGTATCACTCTCAACCATAATTTCCTTACAACTTGTAGCACAACCTAAAATTTGAATTCCCTAATCTACTCAATTTTAGATTTTCATCCCTAACAAATCCATAATTTGCAAATCTCTCTCCAATTAAAGAGCTTGAGTTTTTTTTTTTAATAAGAAACAAAGATATTTTATTTAAACCAACAGAAACCTGGTAGGGTGCCGTTCGAAGAACTTTATCCAGCATAAATTGGAAAACGTTGTTAGAGAAAATAACTTCTAGGCAGGAGTGGAGATGAGCCAAATCATTTGACAAAGCACTTGAAACAGTAGCGGCACCAGTAGCATCTTGTATTAACATCAAATGTACAGCCCAAGCAAGTCTTACACCATCAACATAACGCTCAACATTTTGATCACTTCCAACAGCCATAACCTGAGGCGCGCGCGCACACACACACACACACACCCACACACACACATATACAATATGAGAAATGTCCAAACCATCATCAGAAAGAGCAAAAACATTGAGTTAAAACCATCAACTTTCATCTTACAATCTCATGAAATTCATGTCTAAAAGAAGCATCGCGCGAAAGAAGAGATGCTTTATCAGGTACTGCACTAAGAGCATCCGATATGAGAGCAATCACTAGGGAAAATAGAAGACTAAATGTGATCTGCGTAGACAAGAAAATACATGGATAAGGTGAGAAGTCATCAACGACATAAGCGTATAAGCACAAAAACACTGTCAAAATAAACAAACAGGCACTTGAAAACATGCAGAAATGACTGGTAGGAAAAAAAAATGCGCACGCAGAAACAGAGAATGGCCTAGTAATTTCCAAGGATTGACAGAACAAGATAATGATTTTTGCTCTATTTTAAAAAAAAAAAATACCTGATGTTTCACTGTCTCGTTGCTTTCACTAACTTCCGCAGCAATATCTTTTAGAGCTGAAAAGATATCCTTTACATCCTTTGGACCTGCCAACAATGCATACCAAGCACTTTTGACATAACTTAGTCATCCCAGGAAAAGCATACACTTAGCACATGGATAAGTCATCTACCCTCCTCGGTTTTCTTTAAACATGAAAAGCATTTCTTTTTTTTCCCTTATTCTCTGTAGTTTTGCTTTTCTCTTGAGGATCTCTCATCCTCTTTGCCCAGTATTGATTTTATTATCATCAATAAAAGGTGTTTGTGTTTATTTTCAAAAAAATAATAATAATAAAATGACTTAATAATATGAAAGGAACTTCAGTTCCAATTATTATTTATTATAACAGTTAAATTGACCCATTATGATCCCAATCATTACTCAAAATTTTATTCTGACATCATCACATCAACACTGTGTGATCTTACTAGTTATATGATCCATTCCAGTGAAATGAGAGAAGCAACATATCGAGAAATTATAAAGGTATACTAATTATATTATTCAGCACCTGAATCATTTCTTTGACCTATAAGATACTACCAAAGCATTGTTTGCGCGCAGAACAAATGACGTTCAATGCACAGTAAATACAAACAGATTACAGCTGTAAACACCATGAAATACATTCTTACCTGTCCGCACAACCAGAATAAAAAGAATAAGGCAATGTCCAAGTATGAGCCTTTCCCTGTAGACCACGGCCTGCCTCTCAACAAGAGCACCTCTAGAATCAAGTACATAACGTTCACATTGAGGACCACCCAAACCAGCTGGTTCTTCCCAATTAAGTTCCTATAATTAAAAAATATATATCTATAAATAGTAGTTCTTCTTTAGGTGGTGATGGTGATAGTGGTTTTTTTTAACCCTTTGTGGGGAGGCACGGTGACATTTACAAGCCGATTAATAAATCTGAACAAAAACACCCGTCCAACAAATCTAAACACACATATTAAGCATTATTTGTGAGTTTAATGTCATATTCTATTTACAAAAATTCCCACCTAAAGTGATCCAAGACAACAAGCTGATAGGTGGCATTATCAAGATGAATATTGTGAACAAATAAATACTTGTCATTGTGCAAAACCTTTATGAGTGAAATTAACCGTTGTCTAAGCCCAGAACTCATTAGATCTTCTAAATATTTCTGAACATCACATAAAAGATCAGCATCAAGTCCCTGGTCAAGCACAACAGCCTGCAAAACAAAATTCACTAGAAGTTTAAGACAAAAAAAAAGATCACAAAATTACAATTAAAAATAGGCCACAGGAAAGGAACAAGATTCAGATACCCTTAATAGTGTATAGAGGGCAGTCAATAGATCTCTTCTCTCCGTATACCAAAGCCCTGCTGAAAGGCGTAAAATTTCCAGGGGCTCTCGTCCCATCAAACCCCACTAAGAACAAGACATACAGAAACAATAGGAAATACGTTTTATTTAACCACATACATGTAAGCTAAATGTCAAAATTTTAAGACAAGGAAAGCATAACTCTACCTCTTGATTTGCATGTACAAGCAAGTGGACACAATGAATCTCATTGAGATGAAGATCGTCACTCAACTTCAAAGCCTTCAATACAGCATTAGCACCAAAAAGGTGAAAAGCTCATAATGTGTATGATATACGCGAAGAAAATTATAGTTCTATTTCAGTAGGATGCTAAAATTAAAAATACACCTTCAGCTTGTGATTTAAGTCATTTGAAAAAATTGAAGTTAAACATAAAAAAACATTAATACATAAATTATTTGAAAAATGAATACAAAAACTCCCCGTTCGTTTCACAACTTGAGTTAGAGAACTTGAGTTGAAGAGTGAATTTATGTGAGAGAAAACACTATAGTATAAAAGTTGAATTTGAATTTTTATGAGAGAAAACACTAGCAAAAAGTTTGAGTTGTGATTCGAGTTGTGCAAAGAACGGGGATTCTTGGAACAAGCATTCGACTAGAAAGCATGAGATTACACACTACAAATTGTAAAAATTCGTAAAGCTTCATTAATTATCCAGAACTTTATTACAATGACAGGCTCATTAATACATATATTAAACTAGCATAGCAACAAGCAATGTGGAGAGATTAGAAGATAGAATCCATAGCAAACACAATAAGAGAAAAGTCCTATATTTCCTCTCCATTTTCCTCACTTAAGTTATATACCTTTCTTTCCATTCTATTTTCTTTCCCTCTTAACAAACACAGCCAAGGTATATTTCAGTGAACACAAAAATGAACCCAGAAAGCTTACAAGATAAATCACTCAAAATTGAAGAAACCCAATAACTATCAATTAAAAATTCAACCCTTAGGAAAACCGAGTCCAATTCAACTATTTGGATTACTTAAAGCTTTGTGTCACATTTTGGAGAAATCGTAAGGCAATACAAAATGCACAACAATAACCCTTCCATAATCTCCAGTTCCATCCATTTTCCGAGCAACAAAGCAAGAAATGAACCTTTTTTTTATTGGGTAAAGAGCAGGAAATAAACTTACAATCTGGACATCCTGGTCGTCGAGCGAAATTGGTGGCGAGTCCGGAAGCCGAACTTCTCTCGACTGCACTTGAGCTCGATCGGAGGGTTTCGGAGGCTACAATACCCACGCAAAGGGGGAAAACAACATCAATCACCAACAACAGAAATCACACTTCGTAGAAGTTAAGAAAATACACCTTCTCCTTCATTTTCTCGGCAACCAAACGGGGACGTACCGGATAGAATAGGAGGGACTGGAAAGCTGGAAGAGAGCTTCGAATGGCGTGCAGAAACTCGACTCTCTGCGCCGGCGTCGGAGGCGAAGGGCCGAGAAGCGCCGATTCAATAGGGGAAAGGAGCTCCTTTGTGGAGACCATGGCTGAAAGATTCTCGCACCGATTTCAGCTATGGATTTGCAGCTGATGAAACCCTAAGAGAGAGAATCACTGAGAGTGTGAGGAAATTTGGGAGGATTAAAGGCGGCAAAATGGAATTTTGTTGTGAGGCTTCGACAGAGAGTGAAGAGGGTTTTTGGTAAACCCCGTCCTTTAAAGCCCTTAGGAATGGGGTCCGTGTACTTATTTACATTGACGGTTGATTAGTGGATTTAATGATCAGTGGATTTAATGAATAGAGGCTCCGCGAATTCAAATTTTTAATTTAAATTAAGATATAATATTTTTTAAAAATTTTTAATTATAATAAAAAAAATTAAATGTTACTTTTTATTAAAGTTTTTAACTGTAAAATTTTATAATTAAAAATTTAAATTGGTGAAATAAACGAGATTACAAATTGTTAGAAAAAAAAAAGATAAAAGAAATAGAGAGAAAAGCGTGAAAAAAGACCTAAAATAAAGAGAGAATTATAGGTCTGTTTAGTTCAATAATTCTAGTTGATATGTAATTTTATGTGAGAGTTTTTTACTGTAATATGAAAGTTAGATGTGACTGTTTCTGAAAATTTTTTACTGTAACAAAACTCGAATCGGTGAAATGAACGTGCCTATATATTTTAACCTCATAATAATAATCAAAAAATAATAATTACGTTTATACTCTCTTAATCAGATAATTCTCTATTTTTATTAAAAAAAATCACCATCTTAATTCTCATTTTGCTTCTTTTTTTCTCACCTCATTCATCCATAGTAAGTTCTTACAATACAAATAGTAGTTCACTACTTGCACCTCCAATAGGTGCTTGCATCTTAAGCACGTCGTTGGCACTTGATCTGTAATTAATAGCCATGTTAAAAATTGACAATATAAATTGAAAAAGAAAAACTGAAAACAAGTGAATGATCATTACCTTTCTTGCAGCTGCCACCTATTGCGTAATACATGTTCTCATATTATGTCCCTCCTTCCCACATTTGCTGCATCTTAAGTTTACATAAAATATTCTCATTTTGGTGCTACTAGGTGGGACTACTTCATGTTCAAGCCTCCTCATCTTCTTTGGCCTTCTATAGTTGGGCTAAGCAAAGGTGCCTTCCTGTCACGCCCCCCAAACGGGGTGGGTGACGTGGAGCTCGATTAGGGATTAATAAAGCAGATTCCTATTAATCAGATTCCCAGACCGGGCCCCACACTTAACTGCATTAAAATATAAATTAATTACATAATTCAGGAGTCTCCGGCACACAGGGCTCCACCCCACAGGACATACAGTATCGTACATACATGCTCATGTAATTAATCATTACAACAGACATCAACCACAGTCTAGTAAATCCAAATATTACATAAGTTTACAGAATTCTCAAATTCCTTACATTTGTCCAAGAGGATGTTCACGATCCTCACTTGATTCCAACAGCAGCACAACTCAGCTGCTCCGTAGCAAATATCCAGCTACTGTGCACCACTCCTAGAATCTCCTGGGAGGGGTTTAACATTTAAAACATAAAACGTGAGCCAAAGGCCCAGTAGGATATAATTTGAAATATTTAGAATAAATGAGCGCATGAATAAATAATTGAATACATAAATAAAATAAGACATTCAGTCCCGACAGAACAGCCGGAACCTCACATCCTTTTTCTCAAAGGAAATATAACTGAAAATAACCATGTTACAGGCTTCAGCAAGTAATTAGTACAAATTACTTACCTAACCAAGTGCCTCGCCTCCCCGGACCGGTTTCGGGTTCTGCCCCCGAGGATGCACTCTCCGCATCCTATCTAGGCTTACAACAATAGACTCTATTACCAGTTCACAAGATCTCTTATCTTAAGAAATCATTCATTAACATTTTGAAATCGTTAATA